TCATCTTATTAGGATAGCAAACTTCCCTTCTTGAAATAACACGTACTACTATTTGAATATTTGCACTGACAGAAATGTGCAACACTGAGCAGTTTTATATCCTGCAATATTATATACGCTGACAGCATACACGGAGGAGGACTATTGCGTAGAGGAAGTGTCTCCATGTATAGACACGTGTGTATAGATGTGCACGCGTCTGTAGAGGAAGCCGGAGCAGCAGCAACCAAACCACAAGGGACATGAAATTTGAGGCTCTGCCTGAGAGCCTGGGCATAACTGCAGTGCCGGCCGCTGGGCAGGCACGTCCTTTCCAGGACCCAGCAGCGGGCAGTGACAGACCTGCACATCCTGCAGCCTCCACCGCAGTCTCCAAAGGGGACAGTTTTTACTTTCTGCTCTCAAATGCGGCAGAGGTGAAACATGCTGAACGGCTGTGAAAGTAGCACAGCCTTCATTTATCCAGGGCACAGCTATTAGCACAGAGAGAGGCTTTACAAGCTCCTTTACCACCGCCAATTGCATTCAAAAATTATTGGGGGGGCTTTTAAGGATACGCAGGGACATTTGTTGGCCAAAGTTACTGGGTTTTTTCAGCTAAAGATACCAAGGCAGAATGGAGGCTTAAAAGTTCAGGTCAACTCTAATTTTAACCAGTGGTTTTCTCACCTCTGGCTGTATCAAAGGCAGTATCACAGTATCAGGATTCAGTGTCAGCTGTCAGAGATTTGGTAGCAATGCAATGACTTTTATTCCTATCATCACTATTTAACAAGGATGAAAATAGCCACCTCAATGCAGCCCCCCTCCTTCTGCTCGAGAGAGACTTCAGCAGCTGGCTCCCAAGCCCACCTTTAACCTTGGCAAGAGCAAATTCTACCAGAATCACCTTATTACACTCCATGACCCAGCTGCACCCCTGCAAAAGCAGCTCCCTTCAGGTGCATTCTTTAATTCTCGGCTCCACCTCTCACAGCAGCACCACAAGGCAGCATCGACATTATTTACAACAGGAGCCTTCAGCCTCCACACCATACTTCTGGTCCATCCTTCCTTCCGTATCTCCCTCCCCAGCCACCCTCCCTATTTGTCATTCATTTTTCCATACCATCCCCATCCCCAAAGTCTTCTTGGCACTGCCACGTTCATGCATTTACATTCCTGCAGGGGTTTGTGGTTGCGTTTCCACAGGGAGATTCAGGGTCCAGCTAACACATTTGCATGGCACAAGCACTCGAATGCCACCAGGCATGTGCGTTGACTCTTGGTGAGAAGAAAATGCCCATTTGAGGAAATGATTAATTTTGCAGGCTGGATTCAGAGTACATAGCACCAGTCTCTCTGCTCATGCAACTGCAGAGCTGCAATGCCCCCTTGCACAGGGATAAGGCACAAGACCGCTCTCTTCCTACTCTGTAGGGGAACATAAGCTTTCTTCACTCCTTCATGGTAGAAGCCATGTTACCTTTTCTCCCCCATCTTCTCTTGATGACAACTCTTACCTTCAGCAAGCAGGAGGAACCATCTGTGACAGCCAGGGTCTGTCTTGGGGCTCTGGCAGGATGTAGGGTAAGAGTAAGCCCATGTACAAGATTGCCATACATTTCTTTTGCTATACTAACTTCTGTGGGTTAGCAGCTGCACTGCACATTAAATTCAATAATTAAATGAATTAAACTGGCCCTGCAAGTGAAGCTTGCAGTCTCCTCTCTGGTGAGACTTCTGTAATAAAATTATAACAAAAATAAGTTAGAAAAATTAAATATTTAAATTCTTACCAGTGCTGGGAGAAGGTCCAACACTGCTCTCCCTTTTGTTTGTGTCATCCAAAAACCTTAGCAGCTTCTTAATAACTTCTGAGTTGTGCACCTGTGCAAACATGTGGCAGGAGAGCTCACCTGAGCTGAATTAACTCCTACCCATTAACCCCTCTGCTTGTCACTGCAGACGGTCACATTGTCAGCTAAATTTGATCTCACTGCTGTAGGAGTGCCCCTCTCACAGGGAAACTGTCTCAGCTGGAGAGTTAAAAAAAAAAAACCACCAAGACAGGAGATAGGTACTGACAGGCAATGCTTTATTCTTATCGACTGTGGAGAACCGTATGCATGAAAGCACCACTCGAGGCCAATAGAGTTAAGAAACCAGTTACATGTGTTACTTCTCAAATCTACTTTGCAAGTGCTACAATTAAATGCATAAAAACAGGTTGTGGGAGGCCTCATATGACATGCACAAAAGCTTGTCTCCCAAGTGCAGAAACTTCCCCCCACATTCCCAAGGGCCCGAGCACAGCCGAAGAGAAAGTAAAACCAAAGAGCTTTTATTCAGCCCAGCAAAAGCAGCCTGTGCAGAGCAGCATTTACGGGGCTCCAGCAGGAGAGAGCTGCAGAGGAGGGAAACGGCAAGAACAACTTTTGAGGTAGAAGAAGCAAAACCAGGAGGCCCTCTAGAGATGCCAACCGCTAAAAAAAAAATTGCCTGTTAAAATAGATCTCAGGCAGTAGCAAACTGCAGGTGCTTAACAAAGTGACATAGTGTCGTGGTTTAACCCAGCAGGCAGCCAAATACCACACAGCCGCTCGCTCACTCCCCCCCACCCAGTGGGATGGGGAAAGAATCAGAAGGGTAAGAGTGAAAAAACTCGTGGGTTGAGATAAAGACAGTTTAATAGAACAGAAAAGGAAGGGAAAATAATAATAATAATGATAATGATAAAATATACAAAATAAGTGATGCACAATGCAATTGCTCACCACACGCGCTGATCGATAACCAAGGAGTGATCGCTACTTCCTGGAACACGCCTACCATTCATATGCTGAGCATGACGTCACATGGGATGGAATACCTCGATGGCCAGCTGGGCCAGCTGTCCCGGCTATGCTTCCTCCCAGCCTCTTGTGCACTTGGCAGAGCATGGAAGCTGAAGGTCCTTGACCAGTAGGGTACTTAGCAACAACTAAAACCATCAGGGTGTTATCAACATTCTTCTCATACTAAATCCAAAACACAGCACTAGGAAGAAATTTAACTATCCCGGCTGAAACCAGGACACATAGTTCAAGGTCTGCTATTTAAACTCAGCCACCCTCTAACATTGTCCAGCGTTTCACCCTTAGCATTTGGGCACACACGTATAACTCTGCGGAGCCCTGTCACGCGTGCAAAACAACTGCACGCTACCAGGTTGTTCCTGTTTCTGGTAAGCTGTCAGAAAAACTTCTCGAGATGCTAAACTCCAAAATGCTCTAGCAGATCTGCAAGGACTATGGATTCCACCAGGCTCTGCAGGATCCCCAGAGACACCAGTGTTTCAGAGCCAGGTCCCTGGCCTAGATCACATGCCAAGACTTCACAGAGGTGAGTTCCTGAGTGCTCCCTGCTACCAAAAGTTGGGAGTTAAAAACAAAAAACAGCAACAAAAAAACATTTTAGAAAAATCTACTAAATAATTTTGCCACTTCAGTACTGTACTAAAAAGAAAAAGAGATTCCTTAAGAGGAGACCCAGTGCAACAATAGTATGTGGCAAGTTGGAGTCCTGTATAGCTTTAGACATACCAAAGAACGCAGGAAATAAACATAAGACCCCAAGCCCCCTGGGATGGGAAGATCTCCCTAGAGTATTCTTTGGCCTCCCAACTTTATACAAGGTCCTTGAACCTGTCAAGGCTCTTCTAACCTTCCATGGGCCCAATGAGTTTCATGCTGTTATTTTCCTATTTTTTCTTCTCCCCAAAACTTCAATTTTTCTTTCTTTCAAAACTCTGCCAGTATATTGAGGATTATATGAACATAGATCAGGCTGCTCTGTTTTCATATCTGACTACAGAGATGCACTGACATCTGCGGCTTTCGGCCTTTCCTCTCTTCTCTCATCATTTCTCCCCTTGTGCTTCCAAACCTTTGTATGGTGAAGGACTGGCACATCTTTTCCTCACTCTGTTTCCTGAATCTCAGGTTCAGAAGTGCTTTATTGGTCTGCATATAAGGCAAACGCTTCACTTCTCAAAAGACGGAAAAAAACATATTTAGAAAATCTATGTATTTTTAAAAACTATACCTTGTCCCACGATGCCTGCCCACAGCTTACCTCTCCTCAGCTTCTCTAGGACACCCTCAACCCACTCACTGCCCAGCACCCCATGTGTCACCCAGCACGCCCTGCAAGGTGGCACAGCCCCCTGCCCCGAGCCCCTCTCCTGCATCTGCCTGGGGGTGCCCCAAGGTGCCGGGAGGCAGTCGGATGGCACCGGTCACCTCGCCACATCAGTCCATTGCATGGGAGAGCACAGGGGACTACAGACAAGATGCATCCCCTGAAATGGGAAGAAAATTTCAGTGCAGTTGGGGAGATTTCTGCTGTCATGGGACTGGGGGTCTGAGCTTGACCTGGACATCTCAGGTATCTGCCATTGCACCAGCAGCTACCAGAGACTTGTAAAGGGGCCACCTGGTAGCTTGGCACCTAAGGCATACACTGGCACATACAGTGAGCTGCACATCCTCCGATAACCCCACCACATATCCTCTGGGCTAGCAGCTCCTGGTCTCTCATTCTCTGCTTCCTGAGTCAAGCCATCTAATCCTATAGCCCCAATGCTTCCAAAGCCCATCTCTTACTTTGTAACTAAATATATATACATATACATGCACATCTCTTACTTTCTAAGTACGTATATAAATATATTATTTTCCTTTTTACAGTTACAAATTGCATTTACACATGGGTTTTTATTTTTTTGGTATCTATGCAAGCTTCTTAGGGAACATGAGCTCAAGATATAAAACTTTTGAAAAATACTTCCTTTTATTTTTTATTATTTTTTAAAAGCCTACACCAAAATATACTATGTACATCTGTAGCTATAAACTCTGTAGGGTAAATACCGTTCTTCAAACACGCAGAATAAAACCAATGCCACCGCCACGTCCACCTTTGCCTCCACCTGTCCCACTCAGCACCTCTCCACCAGCTTCCTGGCGCACACCAAGCCTTCACCCGACATTCAGGTCCAAAATGTCCCAGAGGTTTTTTGCCACGTGCTGAGGCTGGCTGGCGGCATGCTCCTTCAGCCTGGAGCCCATCACTTGGTAGAGGCTCTTTGCAAGCTTGGCGATCACAGCCCTGACATTGCCGCTTCGAACAGGCAGGACCCCGTTTCCCAGGAAGAACCAGAGCGCAGGCAGGGCGTAGCGCTTGACGGCTTGGGGTTTCTGGGGATAAACAGATGCCACAAGCACTGCCGGGCGAGAAAGACAAGCTTCTTAACAACCTTGATGCAAACAAGTCCCTACCTTTATTTTTGGTTCTTGGAAGCCTTTTCTGGCTAATATCAGCAAGCACAAAGAGCCCGATGAACCAGAAACAGGCAACAGTGGCTGATCATCCACTGAACAGAACAACCAACCTCTGAGGACCTCAATTTCTCCAAATCAGAGGCTTTGTATCCGTGATAGACTTAGCAAAGTGAATCATACACATTTTGTAAATCATTTCACTGTCCGCTTCTGCATTACAAATGACAAAAATGTCAAATCGCTGTTTATTTCCATTAAGAAGTTGTTTAAACCAGCTGCTGAAGATTTTGAAATGCAGCTTAGAGAGGTAATTGAAAGATTTCTAGTAAAAAGGATGATTACTTTTTTGTGACCTTTGATGAAAAATGCCAAAAGCCTAATCTGGCAGTTCCCTTTGCTCAGTGGCACACAGCAAACGGCAGTATTATACCACACTTCAAAACTCCAGCCCACAAAAGATGTGTGCTGCTCGACAGTTTTATTAGAAACATCAGTGACTAACTGATGTCTTTGGCAGAATGGTCTAATCTGAGGTTTTTTTCCTCTCATACTTGGTGGCTTCTAATGAACAGCTGTTTCAAACTTCAGGATGTCTTAGATAATTATCCAGACCCCATTGCCATGGCATTTGAGCATCTCACAAGTTTAATGGCATTTACCCTCACAATGTTCCATGAAATAGGGGAATAGAGAGAGAAAAATCTTACACAGGGGGCTGAAATTTAACCAAAAACCAATTCTCATTCTCTTTGAAGTCTGCTTTCAGCTCATTTTCTGAACTGAACTATATTAAATACAAACAAAAATTTACTACCAACAGGCTCCTTGCATGGCAGATTTTGCTGAGAGATCAAAATCTGAAATGGTCTGGAGACAGAGTTCTCATTTTCTGTAAAGTGGAAATGTTATGCAGTAACCATTTATTATTCTGTAGTGGAAGCACCTTCATTTTCTCTACACTGTTAATCTAGCATCAGTCATCAACATTTAAACAGCTCCTGAAAGTACCTAAAACTAATTCTGGTAAGCAGGAAAAGGGTTATGGTACCTATTTTAAAATGGGAGTTAATTTGAGTTTAAATGCTATTAAACACAGCGGTCACTATGGAGCTTCAGAAGAGAAAAAGCTGTCTGTTCCTACTAAATCCCAGAGAGAACATCTGCTCTCTCTAAAGTAGTCCCAATTTATGTCCAAATGCTTTATTTGAAAAAGACATTAAAATAACTGTAAAACTAAATTCTATGTTTATGGAGATTTACTTTATTCACATTATCTTTAAAGGTCCTTTTACATTTGCTATGGCTAAACACGCCCTTTTGAGATTCATAATGAAGCAGCAAAGTGTATTAAACCTTGGATTAAAAGATGCTGGCATAATTAGCAGTGGATTTAGCACTAATTAAAGCACAGCTATAAATAGTCTTCTCTAGTATATATTGAGATTATCATTTTTTCCATTCCTTGGCTGTTGCTGACATAGCAAGCTACTATTATAAATCAATTATCAGCTGCATTTGTAGTGTGTCGGACACCGCTGATATAGAAATAGACTGTTTGCACGTCCTGAAATGCTCAGAGTCCAATGTCATATCTGCAATATAGGCAGGGAGCCTCAGAGGGTTGGGCTGAACTGCCCGCTTCTGCCCCTCTACCCCCAAATTCTGCCTTGCACAAAATCCTTGCCTGTAATATGTGTGTTGAGTTTTCACCTACGCTATGACCCCCAAGCTCTGCAGGATTCAGGCTCAAAAGTTTCCAACAGGAAAACAAGAATCCTGTGACAAAACAAACTGATTCTCAGAAATACCAGTTGCCACAATTTTTTCTAGAGGATGGTCATTCGCTTTAGAAAAGGGACCTCTTACAGACCTCCATGACCTTTACTGTACTGTCCTTCAAAGAGAGGAGCCAGCCAGGATATTTTTAGCCCCTGTCTTTCCTGAGATACCCCAGTGAGAGCTCAGCACTGGAGCCTGAGCGCCGTCCTCATCTCACATGCTGCACGCCTCCGCAGCAGCCAGGCAAACCGCTGCCAAATGTACCTAGTATGTGTATTTTGGAGGACAAGCTCAGGACCTTCTGAGGTTGCTACTGCACTGTCTATTCAGAGGCATTCCCTCTAAATATTCCCTCTGAAGACTTCTTGACTTAGAAGTGGAGATTAGCTGAAGCTGGCGATACCTGAGAGGTGTTCTGTGACATCCAGCAGAGCTTGGCCGCTGAGGAAACGCACTCGGTGGGCAAACGCTTGCAGGAGCAATGTGTTATCTGAAAGAGAAACATTTATTTCTGCTCACTCTTCTGAGGTTATAAGAAAAAAAAAAAAGAAAAGGGGGGAGGGGAAAGGGCAATTTGTAAAATAAAGTAAACTTCTGCCAGTTTCTGAGTCCTTTTCTTCTTCTTTTCTTCCACCTTACTTGGGAGGATTTTAAATTCAAACAGCAAAGCTCTCATATCACATTTGTAAATACAAAGTTGACTGCTGTACAAGCAGCTGTGTTAAACGTTTCACATCAGGGCCCTCAAAATTTAAATCACATGTAAGTAGTGAAAAGGTTTTGCGTCCCGGAGCTTTGCAGAAGCGACCTCCTCCCTCCCCTAAGGAAAAGTGTGAGAAGGCTCAAAAGTCCACACATCCATTCACACTTCAAGGATAAGCTGGTGTTAAATCTTTAAGTTAACTGTTGGGATCTATGGACAAGACTCCAAGTTACTCTTACAAGAGAGAATTATTGCTCATTGCCAACACCATCCACTCTTGGGGGCTCTTGTAACATTTCTGAAATCAGATCTTGGCAGAGAGGCTAGAAAACAAAACTGATTTCCCAATACTTGACTGTCATATGTATTTTAGGTTTTCCTATGCTGGCTGTTGTTGATTTGGGGTCTTGTTTTAATTTATAAACTGTTGCCTGGATTGGTCTGCAAGCTTCCAGTCTTACCACTTTGATAAGCCAAGCAAAGCTTTTCTTGGAGGCAGAATGTGCGTGGGATGCGCTACGATACCTTGCGGTGTCACCAGAAGTGGCAACCTACTTCTTTGTGAACCACTACAGAGCCAAATCCCAAAGTGGTTTTAAGTAGCACTGTGCTATTAAGTGCTCCTTTTTGCATGAGATATAAAAAGGAAGTCCCTAATGATCTTCTTGCAAGCGTGCAGTCAAGAACTGATTCTGCTATCCTAATTAAGCTTCTGTTTTGGTAATTACACTCTTCTCATTCACCTTTTTAAAAAGACACTTCACTTTTTGCCTCACATTCTTGCAGTGTTGGCAGACACTGAGTCACACTTGCTGTTCCTCCCCAGAGAGTTACCTTAGAGCTGCTGCTTTGAAAAAAACGCCCTGAGATCTGGAGATCTTGAAGGAGCACAACATATTAATTAATCGTTTATATCGGTATCTACACAGATTTTCAGGGGAACACTTGGGTTTTGTGTGGGCGAGGGAGAATTGTTTATTTGCTTGGGTTTTAGGAATCTAAGTGTATAGGCACTATTCACCTTTCAATTTAAGGGTTTCAAATGCCCTGTGCATTTTGAAACACTAAAGCTTGAGTCAATAACAACTTTACCCAACCATTATTTTAGCTGCCTTGACAGACCTAAAGACAAAGGAGCTTTTAATGGCTGTTAGAGAAAACAAGGGGCAGGCAGTTCAATTCTTATTAACTCAGCTTTAATTCTCTGCACTACATATTAGCTAAACCTATTGGCCACAGAACAGACAGCCCAGCATTTGCAATATGAGCAAAAGAAGAATCCGCTTCTCCATGCTCTCATTTTCACTGCAGTCCCCTCTTTGCTACATTAACACCTACAGGGGAAATTTCCCTTCCCCCTTTTCAGAGGGTTGGTTTCTGTGGGAGATACTTGGGCTGCTGGCCTGACTCCACACCCTGGCGTCAGGCTGTGGCCATCTGAATGGTATTTATTTCATGACAGAGGACAGGGTAGGACAGATGTCAGAGGAGAGCAAGATCTATGTCTTGGTCCCGTTGCAGTTGGGCTTGATTTGCTGATTCACCCTCATCTACAGGGTGGCTCCCTCGAGTGGGATTAGGATCCCAGGTCACAGCTAATGAACGTGTGTGGCCTTCAGCTGGGGACATCCAAGCCAATGCCAGGGTTAAGCTAAATGAATGATTCAGGCATTATTTGGAAGCAAATTAATTTGTTTATAGGTAGAATTTTGGTCTCGGGGATGGGATGGGGTTTTGGTTTGTTTTTGGGGGGTATTTTTGTTTTTACATCGAGTGATCAAGCAATTTTCTAACCAGCTTGCATTGCTGCATGGGTCATTAAAGGTGACAGATGAGGAAGTCTCACCTAAAACTCAGAATCTGAAGCACGTCAACACAGAGACTCGGAGCAATAGCTGGGCTCTTAGCTATGAAACTCAGTGGAGCAATGGGGAAGACATTGCGCTCACTTACTCTAAGCTAGGAGCATTGCACAATCCTTTAGAGTTTTACTGTTTTTTTGTCATTTGCCACTTGATTTTAAATTGTAAAGGCAGACAATTTTAAAGTGTATGGAAAGTTTCGCTCAAGCATTTTTCCAGTAGAGCCTTCCTTCCCCTGCTAAAGCCCTAAGTGTTGAATTTTGAAATATTTGTGATTCAGTTGCCTGTTCGAATTTTTGCAAACGCCTATAAAAATGAGCAGAACCAAAAAGATATATCTCACCTCGTTTGCTTGAACCTGCCTCTGGGTAAAGTCAGTATGATGAGAGACAGATGTGCCTCACTCCTGTTCTGACATCTGCCAGCATGGAAAATTTACAGTGGTCTCTCAGAATTGGTGAGAGGGGAACGACAGAAAGCTCCATACAAAACCCTGAAGGGATCTGTTTGCCGCATCCTCTGTTAGCAGGATTCTGCAACTTTTCCCCAACCTTCTCCCAGGCACCACAAAAAATGGATAAGGGCCAAGAGCAGTACAGGTCTCACACCCTTCTCCCCACTTCATGATCAGGAACAACCCTATACTTGGGACACAGAAAGGCAGCGGGTCAGCAAATTCACTGAGTTTGCAAATCAGCTGATGTGGAGAAAGTTGTTAATTCCCCTTTAAGACCTGCCTTTTCAAAACTAAATTTTTCAGGTATATTCACCCAGTGCTGCATTTTCACAGCTGACATAAATCTACATGGCAAGGGAATTTACAGCAGACCTTGGCTATGTAGTTATTGGCTATAGCAATCTTGCCCCATGCAGAACAACATGTGGCACAAGCCATCATTTACAGCTGGATTTATACTTGTTTGTTCTAAAGAAATGAACTTGGCAAATCATAAGTTCCCTTTCAAAAAAAGAAGACAAAGAAGAAAGGTGGAAAATAGACAAGACCAGCTAATGCTTATAACATAGAGCCTGCCAGGAAGCTGTTCTGCAGAAGCTCTGATGGGCCAGTGTCCCTTCACGCCAATAGCAAAGCAATTCATTTGGGAAGTCAAATTGGGCCCAAACAACTTCCAAAAATCCCTTTGTCCCTGAATTCTAGCAAAGTTGTACTCCAGGATTTGTTGTTCAGCTCTTTCTGTACCAAAGCAGACAAGCAGCACAGAGCCAAAGGCTCCCAGGACTTTGGGGAAATACTGGTACACATTCAAACCTGTCTGGGAACTGGTGCATAAGGACTGCACCACCACAGCTTCTGGTTACCCAGCTCACCAGTTACAGTCAGCAAAAAAAGCATAAACGACACAAGTGATCTGCAAACCTAGCATCAACCATAGAACCCAAACACTTTGTGTGGAACCTGCTTTTCTGCAGGAGATTTTAATCAGTGTTAAAAAACTCCTGGTGAACACTTTTATTGATGGCATTCATCTTTCCAAAACCAAACTCCTTGCATACGTAAGTATGCACACACCAGCTCTCATCTCACATTTCAACAGAAGTCAGAGCTGGGGTAAACAGCAGATGAAGAGCCGCAGGGACCAGAAACTTCTGGTCACAGCTGCAGCAATGACAGGAGTAGCACAAGTATTGCCAGCGTGTTTCTGAATCTACACCAGAAGATCTAGAGGGAAATTCAGGCCTGGATTCATCTCACCAAACTTTAAACACTTCACTGAGGTTTCAGTGGCAGATGTAAACTCCTCCAGTAAGCTACACAGAGCAACCTGGGTCTCCCTCCCTGATGGAAATGTGTGCAAAAACAAAACCAGGCAATGTCAACACTTCTCCACTAGATCCTTGCAGTTGGATCCTCCAGGGGATCCAGCTGCCTAAATAAAGTGCCTAAGAATAACCTAAGAATCACAGAGAACAACACTTGCTACTTGGGTCTGATTTTCAACTGTGTCCCCTGACTGCAACCAACCCTACCAGCCCCTTCTTCACTTAGAGAGCCACCTAGTTGTCTATCCTTGTATTCATTGTTGTGAATCATTAATATCAACCATAAAACTGAGATGAGAGAAAAAAAAAATCTTAGTATAATCCCATTCTAGTTTACTCCCATCCTTTTATTTCTGCTTTTCTGACTCCCTTATTTTTAGGTTACTGCCTCCAAATTAAGGCAAATTGAAACCTGGTGTGGGTGAGGGAAAGCAGGGAGCTAATTTCAGGACAGTATCTCCATATGCTTTTAAGAAATACATACTACCCACAATGCGTACGATCAGTTTCTAGAGCAGATCACAACAGAATAATTCCAAATACACTGACCAAAAAGTAGCTGTTAAAAGCAGTTTTGATGAACTGTAAAGACACCAATGTAAACTGCTGTAGTATTACCCATGAAGGAACATGCCACTGTATTTGCCAGTCCACAGCAGGCAAACACATAGCTTTTGGACAGCGATAAGGGATGGGCTGCAGGTGCACTCTGCAGGGCAGGTGCTTCCAGCCAAAATGCGCCTGAGGATCCCTGAGAGCTTCAGCATGACCCTGGTAGACAGCAGAAGACATGCTGCACAACTTGCTGTGGGCCATATAGTTCAGGACACGGGGCAGATCAGGACCTCACCCTCTGCCTGCTGCAGGTACATATTTTACATCAACAGGCATACTTGCGGCCCCATGCTCAAGCATCCAGAAAAGGGGACAATAATGGGCTCCTTACCCTTCTGGAAGAAAGGAGCCAAGGCATTTCTAACCCCACACATGTGGAGACCTCCAGGCTGACTATGGAACAAGCATTTAATCCTTCATCTGATCTCCCATAACACAGGATCTTATTAAATTCAAGGTCTCAATCTGTGAATTCAAAAGGACATTTTCCTTTGGGCTTTACATAGCCAAACTACTACCTAAAATTGCAAAATGAGTAACTGAGTTCAAAGCTTGTCATATTGGGGTCAGCAAGGGCCAGACGCATCTGCTCGGGAGAGCTGCCACCGCCAGAGTGTGGAACAAAGCCCAGCGAGAACAAAGAGCCTCCACCACCCTTCCCACCAGGTGTTTCAAGGAAAAAGCACATCCCCTTCATCTTGTTTGAGTGGATGTAAACTTAACAGAATGCACATCTTAGAAATGAACATCTTAGAAATCCAATTCAATAAAAACAAAATGCATGCCCAGGAGGAAAGGGGGAAAACAGTCACGACAGATGCTAGTCACTTCCCTCATGCTCTTCTGGCAGCAATTTAAAATAATCCCTATAATGTCCTCTCTACTGAATTAACAATCAGACATATGATCCAGGTGATAAGCAGCATCCATTCAACTGCACATAACAACATGATGTAACAGATTGGGATAGAAAGAATGCAGGCAGGACTTCATAAACATCTTGCAGCAGCGGGATATTTCCACAGACGACAACAGCTATCAGCAGACGCAGTGTTCACTGGACTCCGAGATGGAGAAGCCGCAGCTGAGGAGAGCCAGTGTCAGAGGTTAGCCTTACCTAGGTGAGCAATGGATGCTTCCAGCACTTTCACAGCTGCAGCATAAATTCCCAAGTGCTTTGAGTTCAGGTTGTCGGTGACTGCTGCTACTAGAGAGACCAGCACTGGGTGTAAGGCGTCTCTGAGCATGGGTGTCATCAAAGCCAGCGCTTCCAGCGCCTGCTGGTTCACTTTTTTGTTGCAATCCTGAAGTCTCAGGACAAAAACATCAAAAATCTGTTAAGAAAACAAACAACATGGAAGCTGGATTGAAATGTCTTTGTTTCAAGAAGGGATAAAGAAACAAGTACCCAGCAATATAAAAGATGAATGTAATACTTTCTGTCAGGTCAGCACTTGCTAGCACAATTTCACTGTTTTTCTGTGGGCTACTCACTGTAGTGGTTGCCACAACCTCATGCTGCTTGAAAAGATTTTCATATTTTATTAAGAGGTTTGGGTGGGGACAGGATAGTTCATATGATGTTTCTCTTTACCTATAAATCATTAAATTAATCCCATTTTAATAATGCAAAATAGTATCTTTGGTATAGAGGTATGAAAACAGGTATTTATGATGCCCATTTTTCCATAAAGTTGTCTCAAGTACTGAGAGTAGTTTTGATTTTGCCAAAACTGTGGCTGGATGAGATCCAAGTTTTGTTTTATCTGTCTCAGAACCTGCATCTGAAGGAGTGCAGATGCTGATGAACTCTTCAGGATCCAGACCATTTGTCTAGCTAACAGGTAGACTTCTGAAGTTTAATGTGCTGTGCAGTTCTCATTAGAGCAGGTTCAGTCCCTTGACAGCCACATTATCAGGGACCATTTTCTGAAAAGGGAAAAAAGCAGCTGCTGGGAGGAGGAAGAAAAGAAGATCTGTCTCTAGACATTTTTCTCCTCTTTCCAAAGAGAAAAAAGGACCCCCAGGAAGGGTGAGAACAGTCTCTCCCAAGCAGGAAAGGGATGAGGATGGAAGTCCTCATAGGAGAGGACTAGGCAGAGGAATAGGCAATCATATCTGCACAAGACAAGATAAAATTTACAGAAGCATCCTTTAAAAAAAAAAAATTTTTTTTTTTTAAATCAACCCAGCCTGATACTTCTTTCCCCCATCCCAACCCATTTTTCTTCTAAAGAATAATTGCCAAGCTTTCAGTGGCTGGATTTCCTTTATTTCAACCTAAATGGTAGTAGGAGACAGCAGAAGCTAGAGCAACAGTAAATTCTGTCATCATCTCATGAACAGCACCAGTAGGCACCTGCCAGAGAAATACATCTGGACTGAAATTACTTGCCCTGAAGCCTGGAGTTGAATTAAATTATTCTGGGTAAGAAGAGACCAGCCTGTCCCAAACAACTAGCATGTAGTGCCAAGACACACTGAGTTAACTTTACGGGTATAGGCTTGGGAAGGGAGCTAACAGGAAAGGAGCAATAGAGATACCCTACATACCTGGACAATGTTAGTGGAGATGAGCTGGGGTCTGCTTTTGCAGTGATCTAGGAGGAGCACCACGCCCTCCATTCGTGTCTGAAACTCCTTGGCTGTCAGGAGCTTGTAAAGCTCCTTGAGCTGTTCAGTTTCTTCCACAGTCTGAAGTGACGTGCGACGGACTGTCTGACGGGGTAAGATGAGTACATCAGAGCCAGACCTCAAATTGGAAAATAAAAACAAGGTAAGACCTTTTGATGATAAAAACTTCAGTTAATTGTGAGGAAAACATCTTGAGGAGACTTCCTAATGATGTGATTTCAGCTAGATCCTGATCTGAAAAGCAACTTGGATCTCATGACAATCATTACAGGAGACAATCTGCAAGTAACATTATTGCTAGTGCTCAGGAAAACCAAGGCACCAAGTTTGGGATTCATCTCATTTATCTTCAGATGTCTTCCCAGGTACTTATCTAGCATCCCTTTGTGAGGAAAAATAGGCACCACTTCAAAGTTTAAATGCCTCATCTCATGGGAGGTGTCTGTATTATAAGGAAATTAATTACTCTGGAGAAGTGTCTCTACAACAGGTATGAGAATCTAGATAAATAGCTCAGATGCATCTGAACAGATGAATCCTACCCAGAGAGATTAAGGGACATATCTGAAAGGATCCAGAGGATCAGTAACAGAGACAAAAACAGAAGCCAGCCATCCCACCACTATGCTCACATTAATTGCTTCCCTAGGGACTGGATCCACAGCTTAACAAACCCAATGGGAACAATTCTCTTGGATCAACCTCTCTCTGCCATGAGCATGGGGAGATCCTAACTATGCTAGTGAGGCGTGGGGTCACCTTCCTGCCACCACTGAGCCCAACAGAGCTAAATAAATCCACCCTGTTATCAGAGGAGAACAGATACAAGCAGCTGTCCCATTGGCGTACGAAGACAGCAAGGACCAAATGCCTATCTTGAATGCTGATTGCAGCACAGGGGGAAAAAACATGCTGTCCATCAATCAACCAGTAGTGGGTCTGAATGACATGAATAGCTACAGAAAAAGTCCACGTTGAGACATCTGTTGACCAGAACTGGTCAGAAAATCATGATTCAGCCAGGCCAAACCACATGCATGGAAAGTGCTGTTTTTGGGAATGGCATCTTGGTTCTAGACTAGGACTTCTCATCAAACCACCCATCTAAAAAAGACTCCACTTAGATAAGAATACCCTGATTGAAATTACTTGTCCCAAGTCAAACAGCAGAGACACGACCCTCTCACAGCCTCCACAATACTGTCCTTGCCACTGCACTGGATCTTCTGAGCTGCAGCTGGTGGCTGTCTCTTCCTCTCTCTCAATTTTTGTGGAAAATCCTCCAGAGAACTTGTGTTCAAGCCTAATGCAGAAGTAGACATTTTTTATCATAGAAGATTTATGGGGCAAGGAAACAGTATTTGGCACAGCTCATCTTCACCAGAAAGATTTTACTGAGGAAGAGACATGTAAAGCTTGTCATGTGCTTTGTCAGATACAACAGAAGTGCTCAGTACCCTCCATCAGAAGGCAAGTTGTCCTGGGGCATCATCAAGCCACTGTTCCTAGACTTCCTGGGGTCCTTGGCAGATGGAGGTTCGCATTTATGGTCTTCTATCCCCTACATATATATATAAAAAAACATGAATCTATAGAAGATAAAATAGTAAATTACTTGTTTAAAACACAAGTTATAACCAGGATCACTGCTACCAAGAAAGGCTTAGGAAAACATTTCATAACTTAGAGAGGGAGACAGGCCAGAGATTCAGCGATGTCTACTATTTGTTTTCAATAACCCAAGGCAGGTTATACGTGCTACCATAATGCGCAGCAGTATAAAATCCTGAATTCATTAGTCTTGAGCACAAATGGGAATAATGCGAACTGGTAGGGAACAAGCTTTCTTAAAGGGCATAGCGGGAAACTTTTGGATTCTCTGCAGGTTGGTCCATGGTGTTGGGAGCTGATTTGGTTCACACTCACTCTCCCTATTCCAGCACAAAGGCACATTCCTTTCTAGAATGTAATTGGAGAGGAATGAAAAAAAAAAAAAGGGATGATTTTCCATGGATGCCAAATTCACGAAGCTTCTTCCAGCTCCACAGTGCATGACAGCAGGGCAGTATTCCCAGAACACAGACAATGTATGTACTAATTATGATTGCCTTGTGCATCTTTTGTACATTTGGAAATTTTCTTGGCACTACCACTTCCTTCATCTTTTGCAAAGCCTCTATTATCTTCAGAAGCACTATTCTCACTTCTTTGCTTTACTGGGGGCAGGGGGGTAGTGTTTTTTATGCTTGAAGGTAAAAAACATTTTCTCCTACTTCCCTTTCCTGTTTGTGGCTGATATTCAAAGTACACCCACTTTATTTCTAACAATACTAGTTCTTTCACTGTCTGCAGATAAACAGGCTGAGGATCAACAGTTCATTCCCAGGAGCAAAATGATTCAGCGGAGGAAGAATGAGATAAAGAAAGATTAGGTATGTTTAATCTCGTATTAGCAATCTCAGTACTTGCATGAAGGAGACATTTCTCCTGCCAAGCACTTACTTTCTGCTTAAGTGTTGCCATAACGTCTTCCAAGTCACGTGAGGGGACAGACTGTTTCAAGTACCTATCAAATTTTTGATGACTCATCAATATATTCAGCATCTTCCGTCCATAACACCTAACACAGGAAAGAGAGAAATGAACACAGACTATTACTGTCTTTTCTCCCTTGTGAATAAACAGAGGAAAAGTGTTAATAGAATAAGCTGATATTTTAAACTCGTCATGTGCAATACCTTCATGAGAAGGTATTACCTATTCAGCAAAGAGAGATATTTACCGCCACTTGCCGTCACTGCACAATGCTGGCAGCTGAACACAAGAGGCAAGAGGAGAACACAGGGCAACGGGAAAATACAATTTCACTCTGAAATTGTGGGTATGCTTCTATGGGATCGAAGAATCCCATGGGACATGCGAAGCAGGACGACCTCCTGCTTTGCTGTCATGGCTTATTTGCAGTGTTTTGCTGCCATTGCACAATAATTTACCTTTCTTTAACTGGCAGAGAAGCTAGGACAAATCACCTCATGCTTACAATTTATTATTCTACACTACATGTATGCACATGGGCAGCAAGTTGTTCATATGTTCTTGGCATCTATAAATGGGAATTTAAATTAATAATCAAAGTAAGGTTTTTTTGGTTTGGTTTGGTTTTGCTACTGTGAAACTACAGCTATCTTCAAGATGAAATTTGGAGATTGTTCAGCCACAGACAACATTACACAATGATTGGGAAGAAAAATTTGTGACTATCATAGGCAACTAAATCTGCAGAAGAGGTTTAGAAAGACTGAATACATTGGTTAAAGACAGCTGGCATATTTCTAGGACAGTCTTAACGTTATCGGAAATAAATGCTTGGGATCCTTCAGTGATGAACAGTGGCTGTTGTGGTTTAACCCGGCAGGCAGCCAAACAGCACACAGCCGCTCGCTCACTCCCCCCACCCCCCCTCAGCGGGACAGGGAGAGAATTAGGGGGGAGAGGGGGGGAGGGGGAGTAAAATTCATGGATTGAGATAAAGACAGTTTAATAGAACAGAAAAGGAAGGGGAAATGATGATAATAATAATAATAACAACAACAACAATAATGATAGAATATACAAAATGAGAGATGCACAATGCAATTGCTCACCACCCACTGAGCAATGCCCAAAGAGCGATCGCTACTTCCTGGACCACGCTTCTTATTTATATATTGAGCATGACATCATATGGTATGGAATACCCTGTTGGCCAGTTGGGTTAGCTGTCCTGGCTATGCTCCCTCCCAGCTTCTTTTGCACCTGGCAGAGCATGGGAAGCTGAAAAGTCCTTGACTAGTAGGGTACTTAGCAACAACTAAAACCATCAGGGTGTTATCAACATTCTTCTCATACTAAATCCAAATCACAGCACTAGGAAGAAATTTAACTCTATCCCAGCCAAAACCAAGACAGTGGCCAACGCTTCAGCTTTGCATTGCACACATAAGACCAAACAAAATTGTTTGACTGACTAATCTGAGTTGATCTGAATAAAGAATCATTCAAGTCACAGGAATTTGGCAATGGTTCTTCTTGCTGGACAACCTCATGTTACCCAGTACAGTCATTTCCCCAGACAAGATTTTCCACACTGTGAAGTAACTTTCTTAATATTTACTTTACCTTCCACTCTTTTGTGGTTTTATCATTTATAGCCAGACATCAAACAGTTTTCATATTTTAGGAAGTGAAATGAAGGTCATCACCTTGTCTCCTGATGACTGTCCTGAGCAAGCTTCACCAGCGTGCGCACCAGCAGCTCGGTACTGTCACGTGTGCCCGACAGGAGCTTCTCGGCTCCGATTTGCTCCATCGCAGTCAGTAGGTGTTCAGCCGCACACTTCCGCACCAGGACATTGCGGTGCCTGGAAACAAGAGAACAAACACTGGAGCAGAGGGACAAGGAAGGCCAGAAGCACAGGTCTCGGTCATAGCATACTCCCTGTCATTGCTGGGAGAAGGAGGCATGTGTTCTCGCTGCAATTTTAGTCACCCGTAGAAGATTCTGTCCTCAGATAAACACAAAGTTGGCACTGTACAGAGGGACTACCTGCAAGGAAGGGGGAAGGAATTCAATCTCCCTGGACTATCTGATACTCAATTTCTTTCCCGAAATTAAGTCTGAGAAAGAGGGAAATGAAAGACAATTCATGCTGACTCATCAGAGGGCTCCCACTATACAGACAGAGCTGAAGCAGGAGTGAGGCTTATTCTACCCATTTATCTCCAAATCTGCACACCCTTAAAAAAAAAAACGGGGAAAAACCCTGTGGTTTTTTTCTGTGGGGCATGAAGCTGCAGAATATCCAGCTATGCAGCCAGTTTGTTCTCTGAGGCTTGGCAAGAGGTATGTTTGAATGTTTTACCCTTTTCAAAAGCTGAGGAAAGGGTAGCAGTCGTTTTAGCCAGGTTGTCCTTTCTAGTGGGTGCCTATTTGAAACTATCAGGCACAGCACTAATATTTTAAGGTAGCGTTTGCTTCAGCTATCCCATAGGAGTTGGCCTGTGAAGGCGTCTGTAAAGTGACTCACCATCTCAAGGCTAACATGCAGCGTCAATTTGAATAGAAAGTGGAGCTCTAAGGACACGACAGTCAGACAGACTCCTCTCGGCAGGAGCTGCGCCTGCTGTGCAGGCTGTGCCGCGCCCAGCGGGTTCTCCCCCGCGTGCTCTGCGTCCCAGCAATTAGCTCCTTATTTCTCAAGTTAATGGCATAATGATGATGCATGGTTTTTCCCAGCGCTTCTGTGGTTAGCGTTGTGAAATATCAAAGGGTGCTCACTGCTGGAATTGCCATTGTCCCTCTTCCCGCAAAGCCACAAGGCTGTATCACCACCCTTTGCAGGGACTTTCGCTTCTCCATCATTGACCATGTCTAGGCAGCATTGACAGACTGTGAGAACGAATAGGCTGAGGTAGGGCAGAAGTAGATGACAAGAGGAAGGGAGCGAGGTTGATCAGAGAATCTAATCACCAAGTTCACAGAAGATGCAGGAGAAAGGACCCTTCCCTCCCATCATTCCCCTTCTGCCTCCCCTCCCTTCCTCCTACCCACACAATTTAAGGTGAAAGATATCACTAAAAGAACATACTGGACTCCACTAGCCATGAGAGCAGTCATCGCTCGTGCAGGAGTCACACTCCCCACCATGATCCCCAGGGATCGATTGGCTGCTTTCTGAATGAACTCGCTGGAGTCCCCCATCTTCTGGAGCAAGACCCGAGCAACCTCATCCACCTCTTGGTCCATGTGCTTCTTCATGGTCCTGAAGAGCTCTTCAAGAGTGCTGATTGCAAAGCGAGACACCTTTGAGCGGAGGTTGTTCACCTGGGGAAGTCAGGAGGGGAAATGTAAGAATCACCTTGTAAAGAAAATCAGTTCCCCTAGACAACCCTGTGCTGGTTTTGGCTGGGGTAGGGTAAATTTTCTTCATAGTAGCTGGTATGGGGCTATGTTTTGGATTTGTGCTGGAAACAGTGTTGATAACACAGGGATGTTTTCGTTACAGCTGAGCAGTGCTTACACAGAGCCAAGGCCTTTTCTGCTCCTCACCCCACCCCACCAGCGAGCAGGCTGGGGGTGCACAAGACGTTGGGAGGGGACACAGCTGGGGCAGCTGACCCCAACTGATCAAAGGGATATTCCATGCCATATGACGTCATGCTCAGCATATAAAGCTGGGGGAAGAAGAAGGAAGGGGGGGACGTTCGGAGTGATGGCGTTTGTAACCCAAGTAACCGTTACGCATGATGGAGCCCTGCTTTCCTGGAGATGGCTGAACACCTGCCTGCCGATGGGAAGTAGTGAATGAATTCCTTGTTTTGCTTTGCTTGTGTGCACGGCTTTTGCTTTACCTATTAAACTGTCTTTACCTCAACCCCCAAGTTTTCTCACTTTTACTCTTCTGATTCTCTCCCCCATCCCACAACAGGGAGGAGTGAGCGAGTGACTGTGTGGTGCTTAGTTGCCGGCTGGGGTTAAACCACAACAAAGTCACAGGAAACAACAAGGCTTCGCACTGTGTCCAGGTGGAACATAAGAGCACAGTAAAAGCAGAAGACCACAAGCACAGAAACACACTTACTCTGATACCAACTTCTCTGCCTTCAGGCCCTCTTATACAATACAATTTTAACGAGACTGCAGGCCTAAAAAATATTTTTTCACCTAGAACAAAATGGCTACTTAGCCCATAATGTGCACTGCTTTGATTTTAGGCCCTTTTATTGAAAACAAACAAACAAAAATTAAAGCAAGGGCTGCTTTTAAACTATAAAGGCACAATTCATAAAGACAAGATAGAGGAAAAGTAGTACTTTCCTCCTGTCCAAAATGCAGCACTGGCCGTTTGAGCACTCAACCAGGAAACAGAAAATACGGGCTTAAGTCTACAGACTAATTCACAGCAGGGATGTGAGTCCATCTGCGGCTCCATCTACTCAGGAGAACCCTAGCTGTTGGACTCAAGGCACTCAGGGATCCTGGAGATCACATGCAATTACAGCTGCGATCAGTGGGGTTTTACAGCATTCAGTGCTGCTTTGGAGTGATCCCTGCTTCCAAAAGGCTATCCCACAAGGGTAAGGAAGAAGCATCTGAGAGTCATGTGCTTCATTTGAAAGATACTTTGAATGACAGAACAGTGGTTCTTTCTGCCAGACTTAGTTGTGCCTGTTAATAAAAATGAACAACATAAGTGCTAGAGGTGCTTGTGAAAACAAAATCTGGGACTGGCGTGAAATGAAAGCTGAAAGATGTCTCTGCACTGAGTGTGTAGAACAGAGAGGAGAAAATTTCCTCAGAAATATAAAAGTGATACAAAAATCAGATGAGCTAAGCTGAAAGGGCTTCTTCTCCTGACCCTGATCTCAGAGTGGGAGAATTTGAGTCCTGCATATCTAAACAGAAAGGTTTGAAGAGTCCAACAACACAAGGGGCATTCAAGCCTCCAACATCATTAAATATTGGATAGAAGGACTGATTTTCATGGAAATGAGCTAAGTCCTACTGTCTTCTGCAAGCAAAGGAAAGTTTAATATATTTGGCAATCGTGTAGTAAGAGTACAAGGCAGCTTGTTCAGGCCACAGACAAGCGCCAACTTGGAAATAGAGCCACAGATGTTATTAAGGAGCTTAGGTTGAGACCTCTCTGTTAACTGAGAGATGAGATAGTGAAGCTGTGCGCAACTGCCCTGCAAACCCCACAGCCAGGCCGCTCCAAGCACCCAGTGGCTGCAGTGCAAAATTCCACTGGTGCACGGAGGCAACAGATAAATGGAAAGGGCAAATTACCAAAAAGCACACAGAAAGGAAGAAGGAGAAGACATCATCAGGAAACACTAGAAAATAAATACCTGCAGTCAATCCGCGAGGATGCTGAGGAGGAGGACGAAGTGGGAGGAACCTGGGAGGTAAAAGCTGCAGTGTTTAATTACAGCTTGGGCAGAGATTTGGGCTGTGGCAACTCACCTGATTAGTGTCTCAGTTTCTGCATTTGTATATTGCATTATAATGACACCTAGCTCAAAGAGGAGAGAGACAGATGCCCTACATGCCAGTAAATATAGCTCTATGTACAGACAGATCATATAGATAGGTGACATACCTATTAGAAAAATGAGGTCTAAAAATAGTAATGAAAGCAGACACTGAGCACAGATGTAAATGAACAAGCACATATCTACTCTACGCCCCATGTACAAGGTACACGGGACACAATTAAACACAATGTTCTTACCTCTTTGGTAACTGCCACGGAAACATCATGAAGTCTACAAAGAAGGACTTCTGAGTGGCAGATAGCCAGGCGTCTGACACTGAAGAGTCCCTTTGCCTTCTGCTGCCTGAAAGGCAATTACCAGAAAGATTGATTTTTCTCACCACCCAAGAACTAGGCAACACCCTCTGAAATTATCAGGGTGTCAGCTCAAAGGCAGGTGCTTCTCATACAGCACTTAATTAAACCATGGAACTCGTTGCCACAGGATGCTGTGGCAGTCAAAAGTGTACATAAATTCAAAAGGCAAATAGATGGTTTCAGAGTGGATGGGTTAATTTGTGGCCATTAAACAAGACAGCCTTTCTGAAATCCCTGGCACACGAAGTCCCTATGTCGCTGCTTCCTAGAAGCTGGGAGCTGTGCCATGTTTCCGTTTCTTGCACCCTCCCTGGACCCTGTCCCTGAGCTACAGTCCCATCTGGCTGTTACTGGGGCATTTTCCCTCTTCGCCATCCCCAGAGGGCAGTTCGGGAGTGAGAGTCTGCGCTGCCACTCCATAGCCGAGTTTGCACTCTGCAATGTAGTTTTGTCCCTCCACCCCCACCCCCCCAAAAAAAAAGAAAAAAAAAAAAAAGCAGTATGTCCTGAAAGATTCCACACCTGGGCAAGAAGAGCTGAAATCATGGATTTTCCAGAAAATCACTACTTAAAATAGCACCCACAACAGCGACCTGTTATTTAAAAGTAGTAAAAAGCCGCTTCTTTCAGCACTTTCTTTGTGAAGGACCTGACCTACATGAAGGCATACGATGCAGTCACTGGTTCACCAGGGCTGCCGGGCGAGACTGGGGACCCATCCTCACTGGGGTCCCTGAGTGTAGCCCGGACCCCCGACACCTGCAGCAGCTCTCTGCACCTCACAGGGCACCGAACAGGAACAGGGAAGAGAAAGGGGAGAGGGGCAAAACAAAGCAATTGCACAAGGAGATGCATCACAGAAGATTTTTCATGGTTATCCCAGTGTGAACAGAGCCCTAGTGAGTGTATGCTGACCCAGAAATCAAAAAGACAACCAATATCACCTGAAATTTGTAGAGTCTCCTCCCATCTGTGTCTAATTTCAGGACACACTGCAATTATCAACAAAACATCTTTGGCCCATATTAAGCAGTGAGGAGGAAAAAGCTTAATTCTAAAAGTGCAGGATTCCTAAAAGATTTTTTCTTTTTCCTTGGCTTCTGCCACGAACCCTCAGGAGAAATGACAGGCTGAGCAACTCTGCACCACGTCTCAGTCTGTTTCTCAGAAATAGGAACTCCCCACAGGCGCTGCTGGGACTCATGTGCAGGAGGTCACAGGGAGGCCCTGTCTCTGGCTGCCGCTGCCAGCAGCGGGACCAGAGGTAAATCCTTACTCAGTCCCACCTGGGCCAGTGACCTCAGGCCCCCAAATATCTAAATTCAAGACCACTTCCATCCTGCTTCTGGCTTCAGCCAGCAAATCATCTTGTTCCACAACTTTCTCTCTTCCCTGAGGATTTCATTTGCAGCTACATGGAACAGAAGGCAAAGCTAGGAAAGAGCACAGACTTGCTGCAGCTGTAGCACTGCTACAGACCAAGGCAAATAAAAGGCTGCTCTCACATCTTTATACTGTGACTGCTTTGGATTGGTTTCACTAGTTCCCTTTGGACATCTGGGCTGTCTTCTAACTTACCTTTACACTGAGAGGGAGAAAGAATGAACAGGGGGCTTTCTTACCAGTCGTCGCTGCTGAGCCACGTGAGCGCGTTGAGCAGCCCCTGCTGTGGGTGAGGGAAGGGTCTGGCTTCCCAGGCGTCCCCACAGTCTGGCTCCTCTCCCCACTCCAGGAAGTCCAGAGCAATGGCTGGCAGCGAGTTCGCTGTAAGGAGAGGGTCAGGCACCAGCATCACATACCCCGGGGCAACCTACCCCACCACCAAGCAGACTGCAACCCAACCTCCCAGCCAAGATTACATATAGGTGCAAACTGGCATTGCTTCAGAGACTTCCTGCTGTCTGGCTCATTGCTTTCCCCAGCACCCAACCATCTCCCAGTCATTCCCAGCTGGGCACCAGCTCCTTGTGTAAACCTGAAAATTGCACACACAGAGCCAGCTCCCATGTCCATGTAGGTACCATAACCAGCTTGCAGATTCATAGTGCCGCAGAGCTCACACTCACTGGCAGCCAGTGCCGCCCAGCAGGACTTGCTACCCCAGGAGTAAGCTCCTGAAATCTGTACATACCTCCCTGTATCACCTCCCTGTTACCTGGAGCACTGGGGACAGAGGCACCCTGTAACTTTCCAAGGAAACACCTCCAGCTGCCCCCAGTGAGCACCAAGCCTGAACAACCGAGTCCTGCTGGGCTCGGGTGAATACCCAAGGAGCAACCACCAGGGAACGGTGATACCTGACCCTCTAAATCTGCCAGTGCCTCTGTTTCCATTTACTTCAAATACTCTAGACAGCAGGCAGCTGAGTGCACATACATTTTAGCATACTATTGGGAAAGTAGTAGTTTATGGATTTTGCTATTTTCCAAGCGTTATGAATATTTACTATTTCAGAGGTACCCACTGGCTGTATTTTGAAGATGCTGAGGTGAAATTTATTTGTCATCAAATGTACTTGTTTGCAAACTGTGCAACGCCTAAGCTTTCTCTTGTGGAAAAATGCAATTTCTAGTCTAGATAGTTGTGACAAAAAAGCCTTCCAAATGTGAACTGAGAATAAAAATATGTAAATATAGATGCAAATTGTTGGCAAACACACTTTCTTGATGATAAATATACAAGGTATAAGAAAATTCAGATGACAAATGCATTTGTTATGAAACCTATTTGTCATGAAAAGCACTGTAGGTCAAAAATTTCATGTCTTGCACTCAAAAGCTCATTTTCTAAAGTGTAGATGAAAACATCTGAGCTGTCTAAAAGTATTGAGTATAAATATTGCACAGAATCTAGATGAACTGCTATGGACTCTGTAGGGTTTTTATGCTACCTTGCATGGTCTACAAAGTATGGAGGATGGAGGAACTGTAAAATCAAAAATATTCAGATGGGGACTAATTTGGATGTCAGCAATAGCACTGTCACTGACATCAGTGATGTCACTGCACGAGTATGTACATATATACTTCTATCTCCAATATGAATGGTCAATTTCGAAAATCTGAGTAGCATCACTAGAAAAGACCATTCAAAGTATCATTCCTAGCTCTCTTTTTCTTAACTCACACTACTTAGGATCATAACATGAGATAGGCTACCCACAAAGGAGAAACGAGAATCACTATGGATCACTAAACGAGAATCACTATCTGCTGTATATTTATTGCAGGTAGCAAACAGCCTGGGAGCACCAGGCAGCCTCTCCTGTATGTCACCTGCTACACATGGCCACCGTATTTGGGTGGAGTGACAGAAGAGGCACTGCTTGTTCCCAGTTTGCACTGCAGGCAGTGGGATGAGAGAGCCTAGAAGCCGTTAAGCACTTCTAGGTGCATGATTGTACCAAGTCACTAATTTCCACGCAGAGAAAACCCTTGCTGCGATAGTAGAAAAGCTGGCTGGAGAGCCAGACAGCAGCATAGGCAGCGGGCCAACAGGGTGAGCGGCTAATTGATCATGGTGGTACACATGTGTGCACAGTGAGCACACACCCAGCCAGACTGCACCGGAGCTCAGTTACAGCTGCCTCCTGGCACCAGTGTTATGTTTTCGCCTATCAGTATGGGCAAAAGCTAGAGGCTCAGGGCTTTACCACTACTTTAATCCGCTCGAGTTTCCAATGGATCTGTAAGAATCAACTGCTCCAGTACCACCAAGCTGGAGTGGATCCAAAGCAGGTTTGCTCTCAATCCTCAGGACAGGCTTTGGACCCGAGATCCTACCTGTGGTTGAGGAATGAGGCAATTTGTGCTCCTTGTGCGAGGAAAGAGCTGGTGTGGGGGCTGCAGCGGAGCAGGCTCACCTGAGGAGTTGCGCAGGAAGCTGCCACCCTGGCTGACGACGGGGATGCTGGGCAGTGAGGGCCTGTTGACCCGCTTCCTCAAGGCAGTACCAGCGCTCTCTCTGCGTGCGTTGCTCGTGCTGGGGAAAATGGAAACTGTCCCATTGACAGGTGGTGGGCCAAAGCCTGCAGAGACTGAAAAGAAGCTTGTAAGTGGAGAGTGCTGGACAGGGTCGCTATGGGCTTGGAAAGGGCTAGAAATCTTCTGGAGCTGGGTAACATCCCTTTGTTGTCCCGAACAACTCCAAGCATAACAGTTGCACACTAACGCGGGCCAGTGATCACAGAATCATAGAATCATAGAATAGTTTGGGTTGGAAGAGACCTTTAAAGGTCATCTAGTCCAACCTCCCTGCTATGGGCAGGGACACCTTCCACTAGACCAGGTTGCTCAAGAGCCCCATCCAACCTGACTTTGAACACCTCCAATGATGGGACAACTTCTCTGGGCAACCTGTTCCAGTGTTTCACCACCCTCATCGTAAAAAATTTCTTCCTTATATCGTTTAAATCTACCCTTTTTTAGTTTAAAACCAAATGCAGTGATGCTTTCCCTAAGAAATGAGGAAAACTCAGTACTGCTTTTCTTTTGCTTTCCTGTTTCAGAGGCTGGATAGGGAAGTTACATTTCTGGGGCTCCCACCTCAGCACTCCTCACAGGTACTTCACAAAATAATAGCAAGAAAAAGAGCAGATAACCTTGTCCAATGTCCTTAGGCTGGGTGCTGACTCTTTAAGTTCCCTGCCGCTGCACTCATAGTAGCGCGTGCAGCAGTACAATTGGAGCCTGTCAGCTGCAATTAAGTCAGTAATGCTGCTTGCTCGTGTGGGTAAAACATAAGCATTGGCTAAGGGCTCCAGCATGGCTCTGCAATGCAAGCTCCTCAGCAGGGAGTGGTGAGAGCAGGATAATCTGTCCTATCATGCGAGCAAGACCTTTTGTGTTTTAATTAGAAATAGTTTAATTTTGTTTCTTCCAGGTTGCACCTTGGTTGAAAAACATTCTTTTGGACTCACCCATTCACCTTTCCTGGAGGCTACTCTCAGTTGGAGAGTCTGAAGCCCCAGTGTAGTTTGCAAGACAGGATTATCTAGTCTGAAAGACTTTATAGGAGAAGGGGGGAAGGTGATATTCTGTGGCTGATTTAGTGTGGGCCACAGGCAAGACACTTCATGCCTCTGTATTTTTCTTTGGAAAGCAGAAATAAATCCTGTTTGAACTCCCACTCAGATGCAAGTGTAACAGCCTTCCAGTCTGATGTCATAGACATTTGCAACACTATGCAAAGAGCAAGCAAGTGAACAAAAAGGCCCACAACTATAGCAACCACTTACTTTCTTCAGCTGCATCCCCAGGGTCAACACTCTGTGTAGGGAGCTGTAAGGACTTTTCGTTTTCTCTCTCTTTCTCCCTCTCTCTCCGCAAAAGCTCCATCTCTCTCATTCGCTTCTGGTGTATTTTCTTCTGAGCTGACTTGGACAAGGTAACATGGATCTAGTTGCAATGGAAACACATCATGGAGCATAAAGAGAGATACACAAATCATTCCTCATCAGGAACACAGTGGTAGAGTGTCATCGTCTTTAATGCAGCTCCATATACATTCCAATAGTTTCAGAAGAATTCCTCTTTTCCTCACCTTGGCATACAATTACACCCACTGATGTATAACACTTCATTGCCATAACCTTCCGCTGGTCCAAGATACTGTTTCTCAATCTATGTCAGGAAGCCCTGCTTGAACCAAGAGAGTCATAGGAGTGCTCCAAGACATATGAAGAGCTCACATTACCAGTGATCAGTAAGTTCAGTTCCTACAGGCCAGGGCAGGGGAATAAAAACCATCTGCAATAACCAGCAATGAGAGGTAATTTGCTGTTTCTTAACACTCGCAGCCAGTAATTGCAGCTGCTTCTCACTTCCTTGCTTCTGAAGGACTCAGCTGCTCTCTGAGAACACAAGTCCAAAAAAGGACTCGTTGAAAAGAAGTTTGAGAAACATTGGTCTTAATGAATAGAAAAATTGAGAATGAGAGGGCTGTGAGACATAACAAGAAAGGTAACCAAGGAAAAGCAAGCTCTCCCATATTATTTTGCAGTCTTGCTTACACTCAACATTACAATCTTTGCTTCTGTGCTTCCGAGCGTGCACTTTGCACATGTTCACTGATATGTAACTTGCTCTGCCATTCAGATCTGCTCTAAATTGGCTTTCGTACATAAATAATGCTTCTTGTGTAACCTCAGCACCATCTCCCAACCAGTGACTTCTGCACCAGTGAAAATACTCAAGCAATTGCTCTATAGCTGTCAAATGTATTCCCAAGAGAATCCGCTCCCCAAGAGAGGAAGATTATGTTTTTCAGTGACATTTTGTGCTAAGCACTGAACAGTCACTGAAAATGAAGCCTGCTCACCCCTTTCCTTAGCCCTTACCCTTCCATTGCTGTCCTTCGAGTCGTCATCACTCAGAAGGCAAGGGCTCCCGAGATGATCCATCTCCTTGGCCTGGCTGAGTGGGAGGCCCATTAACCGGGGCACAGGTTCACATAAATGTCCAGCAGATTTCACGCCACCACCAACACTATGCTGGAGAACAGGCAAGACAGGTTCCAGAGTCCGGAGCTCTGACAAGACACAGATATAGATTGTGGATGGGAACAGCAAGGAACATGTCACCTCTCCAGACAGATGGCGTACTACCATATTGCACTGGCAGCAGAGATGACATTACTCTGTTGGCCATCAGACTTAAACCTGCTGCATGATAAAGGCCTCAGCCCTTAGCTTCTGGTGAGCAGCTGTGTTTGACAGAGAAGAGCAGAGAGAAAGAGATTGCCCTTGCCAAAAAGATTCTTATCTGTTCCTATCCATTTTGATTTTAGTAAACATTGTCTTCTTCCCAGTTACTAAAAGAACTTCTGGTTTTTAATAGCTATATGCCTTTGTAGAGGTAAGAATCAACATTTCCTCCTCTTTGCTGGAATATTTTAGAGGGCATTTAAAGAAAAGCTTAGGATTGTTAGAGTGTTACCAGAAACAGAATTGTGTTCTTGAAGCTAGAGAATTCATTTTCCCTAAGGAGTTTCATTCTAAATTGTAGCAGATCAGCCAACTTTCTGGGCAGCCTGACTAAAGGCTGATTTTCTTAATGGGAATAGCACAGTGCAGCTCTTTCTGAAATACTCTCCAACAGAGTTGTTAAAACTCAGAGAACTAATCATTCCTTACATGGCTTCAGAGATGATAAAATCATGTGATAGCCAAGCAGTAAAAAAGGAATAATTTTCTTAAATCAGGATTTTTTCCCCTGCAGAATGGTCAAGTCAATAACAAAAGAGAGAAAGAGAGATGGTTTAACGATATAGCTCATTTCTAGTCCAGAATGTATCCAGCAAAAATGTCACCTTACTTACTCAGCAATACTTCTCCCTAGTTGCATTCAGCATCCTAGCCACATATCAGCAATAAAGGAATCATTCCAATGAGGCATGCGCATTATTTGGCAGAACTAATGCTGAGCTGAGGGACCAGCAGATCTTATCCCTTTTTCTGCATCAGCAAAATTTATTGTTAAATTCTCATCTCTCCTATCGCTACAAACCCACAGATGGCAAAGGGACAGCAACGGTGTCATCGAGGTTTTCAGCTTAAAAGTGTTGGCTGACACAGATGCACCAGACACCGCATTCTGTCTTGTGGAACTCTTATTACTAGTGATAATGCAAGGGGGGGAGGGAGGAGAAGCCAGTAGGCATCTCCTACCCCAGCCTCAGTTTGCAATACTGACACATGCAGATAGAGTAGGGGAAGAGATTTGTAATCATAAACCTAGCATATGTGGTTTGAGGTAAATGAGTTGCAAAAAGGGAACCTCAGTTCATTACTCAGCATTTAATTTAGTCTTGTGCTTTAAGAGGACAGAAAGCTCAGATCCTGCACAGGCTGGATCCTTTTTTTTTAAGTCTCTTTCTCTGTAAATGGAAAATTCACAAGGACTTCCTATCACATAAGGTTTCACTATCTCTCCCAGTGCAAAAACAGGCAATGTTGATGAGTCTACTTCAGATCTCAAAGGGTTCAGTTCAGAAACTGCTCCAAGGGAAGGTTTTCTCCTTCAAGTGTAGGAGGAAGGAGTGGGAACGTTTCTTATTTCATGCAAAATGACTTGTTTTTCTCTAATCTTTGTGACATTAAAGAGCGTGGAGGGAGATAAAAGGTATGAGCATGAGGTAGAAGAACGTTTTCCTTTCCTGCTGTGCATTTCCGGGGCCCCAAGGTACCCCTCCAGTTCCTGCCATTCATAACCCCATGCTGGAGTCATTTACGCTGGATCACCAGAGCACATTTCCCAGTGACTGGGCTCTGGGGGAGCCATCTGAGCATGTCAAGGAATTGAAAAAAGTTACAGAATGGTTTTCGACCAAACTTGCACAGTGCCACCCATGGCACCCATGGTCAGGACTCCTATGTTCATTTTAGGGCAGTCATGCCCTGTACCTACCTAGAGATTTAAGGGTCTTCTCTTCACTTCTGCTGCCTGATCTTGGCCTTAAGAAAATTGAGGATAAAAGAACATATGAGAAGATAGAAAGAGAAGGGGGATAGCATTAAAGGAGGCAAACTTTCTTAGCATGGTCATTTTGATGATGGAGGAGATGCAACCCATAAAACCAACAATATGCAAAGCTGATTAATTGCCATTAAACTTTCAGTTGCTGGAGTCACAGAGAGCTCATCAAGCTCCAGATGAAACACAGGAGTCACTCCTCAATTTGGGCCTTAACTATCCAATTCTGCTGTCTCCTTTTGAAGCTAAGTGGCTCTCACTGTTAGATACATCCTTTCTGAATCAGCAAGAGATGTTAAGCCAGTCATAAGGCTGTACTGAGGGCAGCTGCCTTTATACTGCTGTAGAAGCCTAACTTTGCCTGGTCGTGACTTCAACTGATGACAGTATCTTGTTACACACAGTAATACCACTGCTGTCTCCTGAGAACAATACTACATCTCTCTGCTCTTTCAAGAAGAAAGAAGGTTTGTCCAACTCAACTGGTAGGTAAGTATATTCAGATTGCACTTTAAAAGCCATGTTGAAGCTTTTAAATTGGAACTGTATTTCTATGACTCCTTATTTATTGTTACAACTAGGATAAGGTTGACAGCTAGATTTCCACACGCATACCCAAGCAAATATCTTTCCATCAGTTACAGCTCTGTAACTGTTCTCTAGCACCTTGCCCCCTTTGATCTTAAAACCATATGTAAATATTAAACATCTATAGGATTATACATCTATAAACCGAGATTTATCTGGGCTCTCATTTCACAGTGAAGGCCCGGACACAGAGAATTTAAGACTGACAGCAGCAACTGAATTTGTAGACAGCTCTACAATAGCCAATAATTGCCCTAACATATTCTTGCAGGTACAGATACTGGCAGCCAAAGATCACGCGCAAAACCAGATGCTGTATTCAGATCCATGCAATACAGTTCCCAAATGGCACCACAAAGATTACAGAATGAATCAGTATCAGAGTAGAGCAGAGGACCTGCTTTTAAGGTGCTCTTCAGTCCTGCCTCCTCCTCCCCCCGCCACCCCTGCTTTTAGAGTGTATGATGCTGGTTTTGACATTGTGCTGGATCGTTGTAAATATGCAAAATGATGAATGTACAGAAGTTTGCATGAATATATTGGAGACCTGACAGTGGAAAATAATCTCACGAGACAAGAAGTGCGAGGTGAATGGCATATCGGAGAAACAGACACCTTGGCTTACCTCATCTCCAGGGCCTCTTGGAAAACCAGGTGCTGAGAGTTTGCAAGAGGCACTGCAGCGCTGCCAGGATCCCCATCAGATGGTCTCGCTGACTTGGGGATAGGGGGAATCAAAGCCACTCCCAGTGACTTCTTCCCATCCCCACCACTGCAATACAAGGGCAGCAGGGAAGCCTGGAAACAGTAAAATGCAGTGCTCAGCTCGAGCATCCAGCCTTCCCCCTTTGATGCCACGAGAAGTTTAGCCATGCTCTTAGCTAGGACTTGGCAGGAAAAGAAAAGTCAAACTGATGGAGTAGCTTGGTCTAGGATGGGCAATGGAAACGGAAGTGGTGAGGGAGAGACCGTGTCCCACGCTGTTGCCAACTTCCTCCCCTCGCTCACCTCTGTGACAGTGGCTGCATTCCCACCTGGCATCTGTCTGCTTGGCATAAGGATGTTCTGGTGTGCCATTGCCTCTATTAGCCTTTCTGATGGTATGGGAATGGGTTTAGATCACTATCATCTCACTGGCCCTAAAGCACCTACCAGCCATTGCTGAACTCCAGCCAAGTCTCCACAAAGTCATTTTGTACTCTGACAAGACCTGCTTTTCTCAAGCCCATAATTTTTTCTGTTTCTGCCCTTCCTACATTCCCCCACCAGCCTTTCGGCCCAGATGCTAATGTGCTCTCTGGATGCTCAGTGCTCTCCAGGACCCACACAGTTCATCATTTCAGGCTCACTGTCACGTATTAAGTTCAGCAGAGCTCCCTACCCTGCTGCCCTGTGTAAGGTCTCTGCCTGCTGAAACTACTTGAGGGTCCCCATGCCACAGCTAGGAAGGGGGATGGAGGGAACGGGGGCAGATGCACACCCTTCCTTAGTATCCCATCATTCTTGTCATAGCTAAAGAGCCAAATCAGGACCTGTTCAAACTCCAGTGAAACCAACAAAGTTAATGTCAGGGATACATTTGGCCCTGTATCTGCAAGGCTGAAATCAAGTACACTTTATTTACTGATTATCCTGTTTACAAAAGCTGTTATTCATCTGCCTTCTCCTGCCTGCCACAGCAAAACCAAAACAACTGCAGCTTCTGTCCCTTCTGCAAAGGCAATTGAGTGGATGGGGTCTGGACTCCATTCCCCAAGGCCAGAATTGCTACTTCCCGTCACTTACCCCTGGGCACACCCATGGAAGAGGATGAAGCTGCACAGGGGCCGCTGAACTCTGGAAATATTATTAGAGACAACTGTGCAGAAGGACATGGCTGTACAACTCAAAAGCTGAGACAACCTAAAGTTGAATTTGCAGGACTGCCTGCTCCAGCAAACATCTTTTTCCACCTAAACCAGACAGAGCTGATATAAAAAGCCACCAAGACATCAGTGTGTCTGCAACAGTAACCACAACGTACAGATGGTTCACAGATACGTGTATTTTACTAACTGTAGAAGGATATGCTTGACCAGATTAGACACATTTAGTTGCTCCGACTGGTTGCTCGTGTTTTCTCAGTCATAAAACAAAGCAGGAGCCACCAGAGAGCACAGAAACTATTTAAAGCCCTCTTCTCCTATTGATATATGCTGAGGACATGAAGTCTGCAGTACGCACATTGCAAAGAAAGCCTGAAGCGCAATGTCCAGCTGAGCTCTTCCTTGGCTCAGCTGCTTCCCTGGGCTTGCACCACAGGGAAAGAAGATCTCAGAGCTCTGCCTACAGGAAGTAAACTGAGGATCACACGTGGTTTGGCTTGTTTTCCTTACTTTATATCCTTTTCCCTCTGACATCAGCTCCTTGTTATTCCCATCACTGTCATCACAGCCTGTGCCGTCTTCCCCATGCTCCTGCTCTCCGTCGCTCACCCTGCTGGGCTCTGAGGAAGGAAGGCTGTTCTGGATGGGAGGCACAGGGTTGGAGGTTACCAGGAGCCTCTGGGAAGCTGACCTGGAAACTACTGTCTTCAGGGTCACCCCCGCAGGGTCACTGCAGTCAGTCAGGCCTGCAAAGCAAACACACAAAGCATAGTAGAAGCAGCACTGCAAACTTAAAGCACCTGAAGCTACATATTTCATTGGACAGATTTCTTGGAAACGTCTAAATAACTGAACGGGGAAACATGCTCATGCTGGCAGCCACTTGAAGCAGGCCAGTGGACAACCTATCCACTTCCACAAAGCCACCAGAGGAACACCCTGGTCCTCTGGGCTCCTGTCAGACAACAGGCCCACAGACGTGTGCTTACCCAGAATATGTCACCTGCACATATGCCCTCCTGCTCCTCTCCCTGCCCTGCAGTTGTACACCCCTACAGCAACAGGAGGGCTACGCAGGGGACTGAGAGCAGGGAAGGTTATTGCGGGGGGGGGGGGGCACATGCAAGGGAGAATGTGCACTGGGAACGTGCGCTAGCTCTCTAGGCTGGGAAAAGACCCTTCTTCCCACAGGAGAGCATGCAGGCTCCCACCTTACCTCTCTGTGAGGCTAACAGATCCTCAGACATCCTCCTCGTCTTCAGCTTGTCCTTGTTCTGAATGGTCTCTGGGGCAGCGCTGCTCACCTCCCTCTCTCGGGGGTCCTGGGTCAAGGCTTGGTGAGAAAGGTGGGAGAGATCACCTCCACCCCCAGCGCTGAGGTCGTGCACACTAGCCTTGCTGACCCAGCCATCCAGGGGAGAGATGGCTTTTGGGTATGGAGGTTTCTCAACTCCATCTCCATCCCATAAACTAGACTGCTTCTTCATGTGGGTTGTTAAGATGGACTGAAAAGAAGCTGTAGATCAGGTAAAAGGGAAGAAGTGAGTTAGTTGACCTCACACCTTTACAATCAACCCATTTAATGAGTGAGGGCATTCAAGGTTTTTTTAATCATTCAGAAGATCAGTTTGTTTTTATTTTTCATAAAACTAGCATCAGTTTAATTCTTCTGAACAGGATTGAGATAGCAAGCCAGGAGAGAGACCTTGAAGGCCCCACTGGTAAGAGGGGAAAAAAGATTCCCATTTCAGGACTTGGCTTCTGTGAACACTACCAGAAAAGACCCACATGGTGCTAGTGGTATTTCTGGAAAGCAGAAAGACATCTCAGCAAGAGATGACCTTGCCAGTGTTTCTACAGCAGACCTTGCCAGTGTTTCTACAGCACCATCCCATCCTTAAGGTCAGATCTGATGGGCAAGCAGAGGAAGAACTGGGAATTTACCTATGGCAAGACCACACATTGATAGCAAGGATAGAAACAGAACTCACATCTCATTACCATGTTGGGCCACAGTCCCTGTCCTGGCTGGTAGTAATAGTGATTTGGCTACTGTTGATGAAGGAGAAAGCATAATGAACTAATGACAGAGAGATGTGATGCCATGCCCCCACTGGAGGAGGGCAGGATCATCTACAGCTCTCTGTCAGCCACCTACTCTGACACAGAGCCAGCACATGAGGACTGACCTCCAAAGACCATTTCTCCCTGAAATCAGGGTGGTTTTTTTTTCATTTGGCTGAGGCCACCATTGCATATTCAACCCCTTTCCATCCTCACCTTCTTCTTCAGCGGTCCAGCTGCTGCCACAAAACTGCAAGTTTGAATCAATGCTCCCACCTCGCAGAGCTGTGTATCTGGGTTTGAATTTGGGAATGCTCCCACAGTAGACAGCAACTGAGGCATGGTACTTAGCTTTAAAATAAGGACAATACAAATGACTCAGATTCGCAGCATTTGATATGGTGAGGAAAAAACAGACACCCCTTCTCCACAGAAGACTAACACACCAGTAGTGACCTGCAGTCCTGGCCTCTGCAATGGTCTGTTGGACCTCACATTATTCCACTTGGTGAGGCACTTGCATTCTAGCACTTTGACAGCTGAACATTCTACAAAAGTGCATGTGTTTTGCTAATTGCCTATCCACGACTACAGGATTTCTTTCCTCTCCTTTCAAAGGGTAGGCAACCCACAATGGTCTCTAGAATTTGACAATGTCTAGTAAGTAGATGCTTTCCAAAGCTAGTTTGAAAGTCCTTTGTTTCTGTAATTCCCACTCAATTTTGGGTTGGGTTTTGTTGGGGTTTTTTATTTCTCTTCACAACAAAGAAAGTACTAGGACACAATTAATCACCAGGTGTTACAACTAAAAGAAGGTTTGCACTCTGCATTGGAAGTTCCCAACATTCAGTGGGCTTGTTTGATTACTGTATCTGTAGGATGAGAATTGTCCAACCAAACATTTTCTCCTTTGTTCTGCTTCACTGTGACAGGGGTTTATTCTCTGCTTTCTTTACCGCAGACACACCCAAAACCAACATAAACATGGCCTGCCTCAAAAAATTTCTGATCTTGGCTCTTCCTGAAAATTCAAAACTACACACAGTGTGTTTCCCTGCCCCTTGTCCTGGCCAATATCTTCCCCATGACCCAGCCTCTAAGGCTGGGCTCTCACTTTTACAGCATGTAGAATAGCTGCTGCACTCTCCGGCATCTCCGGGGTCTCGTGATCAGCGCTTTGAATGCAGCTTTTGTACACGCTCTGCCTCCCTGAGCCGAGCAGCATTCCTGGGCACCGGCACTGCCGCTGCAGGCGAACATCCTCCAGGCAAAGGCTGCAGGAACGGGATTGCAACAAGCCCTGGCTGAAGAAGTCTCCAGTCTGCTGCAGCCCTTTACCTGCTGTGAAATCATCTTGTGTTGCCATGGCGGGGGGGATGATGGGCTCTTTGCCCCTCTTGAGACTCTACTCGATGTGCTGCCGGTCGCTGGGCCTGATACAGCTGCTGGTGGGTTCCCCTGCAGCATCAGGAACCTGCATGGAAAAATAACACTGCTAGTGCAAGTGACAGCCAGCAATCCCTGGCATTGCCCTGCCTACAGGGGCTCCTGCGTACAAAACTGCTCAAGTCAGGTGGTGTAAAAAACCGTAAAAATATATTCAAGCTATGCATTTTCCACATTCTGTCAAAATCATGGCCACGAAGTCCAAATGCTGGAGGAAGACTGCTGTTGGCATAATGGGGGAAGGTAACTCCACCCCAGCAGCTGCTCTCCCCATGGCTGTATGGAAACAGCAGCAGAGGCAAGTATCTTGCCGCACCCACTGCTGTTGGACCCAGCGCAGTGCGTTGGAGTTGTTCCCACCGAACTCAGCGCTGCCGCTGCAGCAGGAGCATCGTTTCACACATTTGATAACAAAGAGCTGTAATGTCACACTGGACTTGCCCCAAGAACAACCGAAAAAATGAAGGGTTCCTTAATCTTATTAGCCCATTTCTTATGGCCTAAGTGAGAGGTAAGAGGGGATTTTGCAGAGCACACCTTAGGATAAGAGGTCAGGATAGTAAGCCAGCAGTAGAATTCCTATAAACGTCAGTGAGTACAGAAGGATGTCAATGTGAACTGCTTTTGAAAATCCATTCATAGGTGCCTCTAAAGCTCTGCAAACAGAGTGACTATCACATGGTAGCAAAGTGCAGCCAGAAGGATCAATCACAGACACAGTTCAGTTAGTTAAATTATTACGGAAGGAAAAATGCCTCTGCACTCGATGGAAGAAGCAAAGGCAGGTCCCTATTAATGTGTTCTGCAAGCTTAAAACAAATAACAAAGAATGCCTGTACAAGGACTTTAGGTACCCTACTATCAATCAAACTTACAATCAGATAAAATGGTATCCTCAAGCAAATTTCAATAGAAATTGTTCATATTGCAGCAAGGCCCTGTACTGCTCCACCCCCTGCCCAAGAGATTTAACTCTGCTCAAGAGCTGTCAAAGCATTCATCTGGAGTAAAGTAAGTGATTTCAGAAAGGCTGGAGTTAGCTGAGACAGTTAACCCACTTCTGGCTTTCACCCTTTTTGTTAGTCTAGATAAATCCACAGAGACAGCTTAAGGTCAAGGAATGAAGGTGCTTAGAGGGTTTTTAGAGCCTAATTCCCATTACTTTCAATGAAAGACAGGCGCTAAATACCCTTAAAAATACAAATACAAAGTCTGTTTGGACTGTGTACTTTAAAACAAGGAATGGAGGTATCATTGTGAGTGGGACTAGGCCATAAAGCAGGGATTAAGGTATATTTTCTTTAGTCTCATTGTATAGGATGAATATCTAAGAAATATGCCAGTGGCAATTTTGGCTGGTTAAGATCACCTCCTAAATGAAGCTGAGCATGCCCCATTGCTTAAGGTATTAAAAATGCCTGAGAGAAAGCAGTAAGAACCAGAAATGAGTGTATCCTGTAGCTAGGATAGAAGGCTGCCTCTGCCACTGACTTACCCTGTAACACAAAGCCAGGGTCTCCATGTCTCAGTTTTGTTCCTCTGCCAGGCCGTCCTACCTAAATGCTAGCATGCTGTAAAGTGTAGTTAGGAAGGGCATTACTTATGGCACCTCCATGGCCCCTAAAGCCTTAATTGCCTAAATTCAGGGCATAGTTCCTAATTCAGGCCAGCTACATGATATGGAAAACCCCAGATGTACAGCTATGTAAGGCCACCCCTTTCTCCCTTCCACCGAAACCACTGTAACTGGAAAAATAATGGCAGAGCAATTTGCCTGCAGCCTGGGGGAAGCGCTGGGCATGGAGGATTCGTCTTCTGCCACTGCTGATAGGAGCATGGAAAACAAGCTGGTGCCATTCTCTGTACAGAGGAGAACAGTGGCAGTGGTTCACTGCTGAGTGAAAAAAAGCGTTAGAAAATGGCTTTCTGAAGAGGAAAAAATGGAACACAGCTGCATTTGAATAGCTCCAGGCCCTGGTGATGTTTCAGTAGACAGTAACTGTACTCCTTGTCATCCTTCTGCTGGGTTAATCGAAAAGAAATGCATCCTCTGGGATTTTCAGCTCCTTTGGATCATTAGCACTCAGTAAATGAAAACAGGGATTATTTAATGCTATCATTACTTTCTTTCCCAACTAACAAGCTATTTCTCTGGTGGCTTCCCAACATAGCAAACATACAGTATCGTTATGTGAAACATGCTGATGCCAACAACCCTACAGAACCCATCAGGATTGGAGCCACTGTGGAGGTTGAACCCAATATCTCACCAGCCAGAAGCTTGTTGTGAGGATAAAATGACATTGGAGGGATGACAGTTGTTTGGGGTTTTTTTGGCCAGTGGATTTCAGCTTACAGCTTCATGCATCTGTATGACGTTTTTATGTAGAGTAAAAAGCCATCGCCCAGTGGAACTGGGCAGTTTCCCCAGGCCTGTGGGAGAATCACGAGGCAGTTGCCTGTGCTACTAATTGCATCTCTCCCCACTTTTCTAAGTTCTTGGTGTCAAAGCCACTTAGGTTAGACACACAGCTCACAAGAAGTGCACAATGATCCAAGTGAGATTACACATCCAAAATCTGTTTTCTCTTGCCATTGAACTTACTGTTTTGAGGAATTTCTGAACCAGCAAACTTGCTTCCTCAAATATTTACTGTGCATGGCAAGGAGAACAGACAAAAGATGTAACATGAAAAGCATCACCCACGTGATGCTCTTTTTACAAGTTCTGCTCTGAGCTTTCATTTGGAAGATCTTAAAAGTTCAATGCCCCTATCAAAAGCTCCTGCAATGACTGCTTCTCAAAAGAGCAGGGCTGCTCAACCATGAAACAAGAGTTACCACAAGCAGCAGCTTACTCAGGGCAGCAAATCAAGAGTTAGGAATAAGCTGATCTGAATGCCAAACCTCATTATCTCCTTCAAAAAGCACTTGAACAATCCCTCATTCCAGCTCTAATGAGGTGTTGTGCTGGACACCATGGTTATTTGAGTACTGTACACAAGTTTGCTCCCACTGAGCGCTGCGACAGTCTCCGTTGGAGCTGCGGCCAAGGGAGGTGATTCCCCAAAGGTGGGTGATTGATTGCTCTGTGGGCTCCTGTGACTGCTGGACACAATGAGATGAGAAGGAGCCAAGTACACTGACACACCTTTGCCTAGAGCATAACGCAGCCTCCTCGACGAAAAACACTGAAAGGTTTCCCCTCCTTATCGAGGCACTTTGAAGAAGACCCTGAAACTGCAAGATCCTGAGCCCATGCTGGGGTTTGCAGAACACCTCATGCAGAGAGGTCCTTGCCCTGAGGGGCCTCCAAGTGCTAACACTGTATGAACATAAATTAGCTGATAGTAGTAACGGTGTGGGGGCTAGTGCTAGAAAAAGCATGCAATAATCAGCTGCTGCTTCTCTTCTGAGAGCAGGTCTTCATGGCACGTAGGATTTTTGCCATGAAGGACTCCAGGAAAGGCTCTAGATACCCGACACTCAGGGCTTGGGTACAGAAGCAGTCACAATCAGCACCTTGAACTAATATATCCTCAAATTAAGTCCAACCAGTGGCCCGTGTCTTGAAATGTTAGGCCAGCTGTTTGTCGGCTCACTACAGTTTCTTGTAAAAGCATTTTCCTTAGAAATATTTGGCTCGTCTCCCTCGGCTGCTTTGGAGAAAGGGGTTTCCCACCCCATATTCCTGTGTGAAGCCATCCCAGAGGGCTACTAAAATATGTTCCCTGGCCAGTAGTTTTCTCCTGGTAGGGCCCTGCATACCGTTCCACGCATTTTTCATAAAGGCACAAACCAACTCCAAGCACTCTGACTACAGCAGCTTTCCACAAACAGCTGCATAAATCCAAGATAACTCCAAGTGAGCATCCTAAGGGCTCTGTCCTGTTCCTGTGTAATCATCAGGCAGGGAAATTCTCAATGATCTGAAGCAATTTCATTCAGCTGCAACATGGTATCCCAGTTTTGTATTGAAATTTTTCATTATGAGTAACAAGCATTGGGAGCATGAGGTGCAGGGCTGACAGGCAAAAGCAGAAGCATATCCTCTAACGACACCAGTTTAATTGTCCATTTTATTACTTTTATATCCATTCCACTAAAGTCCCAGTACTGTTCTTAGTGCTGTATGAACCTTGAAATACAACAGTTCCCACTGCTCAGAATTTATTCCCTGGTCTTTACAGTATTTAAACACCTCTGTCTTGTTCAGGGCCTAAGTCCACCATTCAAGCATCACTGAAATATTTAAAGCCTCCGTTCACCTGACCTACAAGGTATCACCTAACTCCACAGGCATTTAAATCCCTAGGGTGCCCAAGTGCCCATGGGCTGATGCCTGCTAAACACAGGGGCTGTCTTGCATCTGACCCGCTGCTCAGAGCCTCACACTGTGGTGCCCAGAGGACCCAATGCAGGATCTTCAGTCAAGGTGGACAAATGCTTATTTTCCAATACCTACCATCTGGCAACATCTACCTTGGGTGAGCTGGAGGCCACTAAGAGGTAAAGGAGTAATACTCCGTCTCTGCAACAAACTGCAATGCATACAAGGAGGGGGACAAAAAAGACCTGCCAGATATGAACACGCAACACAGTAGAGCTGGCTGACGAAACCTTGCAATGGTTTGGCTCACTGACCTGACAGAAAACATCACGTTTCCCAGCTGCCATCACTTCCAAGGTCCGAAAGTGAACAAAGCCGAAGAACAGCATGAAAAGTGGAAGACTGCAGAAGCAGGGCTAGCTCTGCTGCCGATTCATTGCCTGGCCTGCAGAGAAATAGAAATATAAATCTTTAGGCCAAAAATATAAATCTTAAGGCCAGAAAAAAGTTAGGAGCATATAAATGTGGCCTCTGCAGGCCACAGATTTTGAATAAGTCAACTTTAGTTTCTTACAGGTCAATATCTCTAA